TATTATTCTCTGATGCGAAGGAGTTCTATTCCCCTTCCCCACCTGAAAAGAAATCTCTTCCAAGGCAAAACAGAAGCAGAGGAGAGGAGTTTCAGTCTCAGTTTCAGTCTCAGTCTCAGTTTCAGTTTCAAAGCACCAAGCAGCTTCAGTACAGAACAGTTGAGCTAAGCCACGCCCAGGCTCCTTGCTGTCTCCTTCTTGCCCACACAGCAAATACTGTTTCACTTTCCAAACAGCCCTCCACTCTCTCACACCCTGACTGGTGGCTAGCCAGATGAATACTGGTAGGCAGAGGCAGAAATTCCCCTCCCCACCTTATTTTCCTCCCCCAAAACTAAGCCCCACCACAGAGTTTCACAGCGAAGCACACGGGTATTAGAGCTAGTCGTTTGATAACCGTGAAGGTGTTGAAGGTGAAACACCACGTAGACATTTTGACGTTTTCTCTCTGCTCTCCTTTCTGGATGAGAGCTCGCTTGGCGCTCGGGACGGTCTCTTGGGATCCCCTCCCCGATCTCCTGCCCACCATTCCCAAGTCTTAGGCTTGGCCAGACCATGCCCGGCCCTGTTGAGCGTGGACAAGGGTGCCGCCAGTCCACGCGCGTTCCCTGCTCCTCCGCCGGACTGTCCCACCAGGGTGGATGGGGATCCTGGCAGACTCCATCCCCCCCCCCCACCATTGTGACCGAGAATCCACGTGTCCCAGGAGTGGCTGTGCGACGTGGAGAGGGCCATGCGCTGGACGTTGAGGGAAGTGCTACGGAACTGCCGCCTGGCCTTGAAGAAGATGCTGACCAAGAGAGACAAATGGGTGAAGGAGTGGCCCGGACAGGTGAGAGTGCAAAGCCGGGATGGGGGCTCCCTGGGGTGGGGTCCTGGCAGGTGGCCGGGGCGGATGTGGCGAGCCCTGATATATAGACGGGCACCCCATATATATATATATATATATATATATATATATATTTTGGTGGGACATGCTGGTCTCCCTTCCGTGGTGCCGCTAACCCCGATGTTTATGTCCCCGTCCTCAACCCAGAGGATGGGCGTCTTTGGCCCGCGGTGAAAAGAGGCGACGAATGGAGGGAGAGGGATCTTTAGGGGGTGGACTCCCCCACCCCCCCATAGCTGTAACCGGAGTCCCCCCCATGAGCCCCACTTTGACCGATGTTCCCCATGGGTCCTTCTTAAAACGTTGGTGTTCCCACCCTTGAGTCATCCAGAATTCAGGGGTGGGATTCAGCCCGGTTTGGGTGAACCAGTGGTTAAATTTGCACCCGGTTCACCGAAACCGGTAGTTGAACTGACCGGCTGGCACCAGCTACCCCTCCCCTCCCAGGAGTCTCCGCGTGGCCCATTTTGGATGCGGATAAGTGGCAAGGTCTGCGCAGCGGTTCTGAGAGGACGAAAAAAATGGGCTGAACCGGAAGTCCGGGAAGAGGCCTATTTCCGGCTTCTGAAGGGCCTCCGGAGCCCAAGGAGGCCGTTTTTGCCCTCCCGGAGGCCTGAGGGAAGCCTCCGGACTCTGGGGAAGGTGACAAAATGGCCGTTCTGGTAGGCCACGCCCACCGTGGCCCCGCCCACCCGGCAACCAGCCAGAGAACCAGGCGGGGGGGATTGCTCCCTCGGCGCCCCAGATCAAGCTGAGGAACAGGGAGATGGGTCTCCCCCCTCCCCAAATGGGTCTCCGTGAGCCGATCCTCCTCCCCCTCCCTCTCCATGGCGATCTCCGCCAGATGGTGATCACCGCGAGCCAGATCCAGTGGACGACCGACGTGAGCAAGTGCTTGGCCACCTGCAAGGAACGCGGCGACAAGAAGTACCTCAAAGCGATGAAGAAGAAGCAGGTGAGGTTCCCCCCGGGACTTGTCGCCGTCCTGCACGCACACACACCCCACACCCCGCACCCTGAGCACAGAGCCCGCCCAGGCAGTCCTCGACTTACAATGGTTCCCTTAGTGACCGCTCAAAGAGTAGCGCGGTGGCCTAGAGACAAAGCTCTCGCCTCACAATCAGGAGGCTGTGAATTCGATCCTAGGTAGAGGCAGATATTTTCCTCCCTCGGCACTCTGAGGGTAATATCTGCCGAATGTAACTCTGCACTGGCAACAAGAAGGGCATCTGGCCAGTAAAACTCACAGCTCCATTCTGTTGCCCGAACTCCGCTCTGCAACAAATAAACAAACCTTTCCCCATTTTACAACCTGTCTGGCTACCGTCGTTAAGCAAATCACAGCGGTGACCCAGTTACTAAGTGAATCTGGGTTTCTCCTTGACGTTTGCTTGCCAGAAGGGGGGATCACGTGAACCTGGGACATCACGACTGTCATAACTCTGAGTCAGCTGCCAAACCTTGCGACAAGCAAAAGTCAATGGGGAGGCCAGATTCGCTTAACAACGGGGGGGCAAGAAAAGTGGCAAAACGGGGCAAAACATCACTGTCTCATTTAGCAACGGAAACGCCGGGCGGTCGTAAATTGAGGACTCCCCATTTCTGCTACCGGAACTATAGTCTTCCCCAGGATCTATCATTTCGTTCCCGCAAGCGAAGGGTGGGATACAGTATCGTCCCCCCGTCCCCCCCAAGCCAGTTTCCCTCTTCTAGTCCAGCCTCCCCCTGTTTAAGCATCTGAGACAATTGCTAAGGTAGACTGCAGCTGGACTTGGGGGCTCTCCACACCGCCCTCAGGACAAACAGCTTTCTCTTTGTGTGTGTGTGTGTGTGTGTGTGTGTGTTGTGGGTGGGGATCAGGTGTCCATGCTCAACAAGTACTCGGAGGCCATCCGGGGCAGCCTGACCAAAATCATGCGCCTGAAGATTGTGGCGCTGGTGACGGTGGAAGTCCACGCCCGCGACGTCATCGAGAAGCTGTACAAGAGCAGCTTGCTGGACGTCACCTCCTTCGAGTGGCTGAGTCAGCTTCGCCTCTACTGGGAGAAGGTGAGGAGTTAACGGGGGGGGGGGAGGGGGGGGGGGGGGAGCACGGGTAATCCACGGGCTACCTGTGGCGGCAGCGAGATCCCCTCTGCTGCCCTCCGCTGGAGAGAACGGGCGCCGCACGGTGGACTTCCGGGCTCATTGGCTCCAGCCTGGGGTGCCGTTGCCCCCTGCTGGACACGTGTAGAAACGCACGGATGGACCACAGGTGGATGCTGCTCAGCGGGCAGCAGGCTCATCACACACACACACACACACACACACACACACACACACACCATGGGCCCTCTGCCACATTGCATCAATGCACTAGAACTGATATCATTACCTAGTTGGGTTACGAGACATCTGGACGAAAACCACCCACCTCAGGGAGCACCAAGGACCCCACAATCCTTTTCCTTTTGCCCCCCATCTCTTCCTCCTCCTCCTCCTCCTCTTCCTCCTCCCTGCAAACTCCATTCTCTTGCAGCACTGATGAGGTTCCCCAGTTGGGTCATGAAACGTCCTTTCTTTGCAGGATTTGGACGATTGCGTGATCCGGCAGACCAACACTCAGTTCGCTTACGGCTACGAGTACCTGGGGAACTCCGGCCGGCTGGTTATCACCCCTTTGACTGACAGGTGCCGATGGGAGGGGGGAGGTAGAGGGGATGGGCTTAAGTTGGGGGGGAGGAGGTGAGCGCGGGATTGGCAGAGCCTGCCTCGATTGACCCTTGGAGGGAAGAGTTTGCAACTTTGTGCTGGGCAGAGTACAGGTACACCTCAACTTACGACCACCAATAAGCCCAACGCTTCTGTCACTAAGCAGGGCGCTTGTTAAGTTTTGCCCCGTTCCCTGACTTTCCTCGTCACGGTTGCTTAGTGAATCCCTGCAGTCCTTAAGTGAGTCACATGGTCATTAAATGAATCCGGCTCCCCCCCCCCACGGACTTGTCAGAAGGTCCTAAAAGCAGATCACCTGACCCCATGATGCTGTGACTGTCATAAATATGAGTTGGGAGGGCCGAACCTCTGAATTCTGATTACGTGGGGATACCACAACAGTTGCAAGTGTGAAAAACGGCCGTGAGTCGCTTTTTCCGGTACTGTTGCAATTATGGTCACTAAATCATCATTTTACCAACCCCATAATCCCTTGCAGGGTGAAGTTTGGGCAACTGAATGGAGCTGAATGTTTACTGGCCGGATGCCCTTCCTGTCACCAGTGC